TTCGCTCTGATTCTTTGGATTATTTTCGTTTCTAGAAGGAGCTATGATTATTTTCAACTACTTTTTATTGATCAAATATATTTTGAACGTGGGAAAATTTGCACATATTTTCGTGTAATTTGAATGCTTCCATGTGAATTCTGTGCGGTCGGTCTTCACGCGACATACTCAGTGGAAGACTCATAGAAAGCACCTCAACCAGGTAGAATTTCAAATACAACCACAACGATGTCTAGATAATCGCAAAATTTGGACTACCTTGGGCCGTATTGAATCACCCTTTCTGGGAACTCCAGCGTTAAATATTGCGCTACTGGAAAGGGAAATCGTGGCTGCTCGATTTAGCACGGCGTCTAAGTTTTGCGAATATCTAAGTATCGTTGTGGTTGATTTCGCCTAATAACCTGCCGTGAAAATTGTAGTAAGCAGTAAATAAAACAGTAGACCCCCCTGACGGGTGATTGCTGTGGCAAAAAGATCGATAGAAATAGCTGAGAGACGTGCGAAACAAAGGACCCGCATGGTGTGGTGGTGAACGCGTTACTCCCCGGAAAGGATAATAGCGCGTTCGTTCCCCACCGTAGACACCTGCGGTCCAGAGTTTTGCAAATATCTCAGCAACGTTGTGGTTGTAAAACAGTAGACATTGTGGTTTCAAATGCAATTGGACTAAGGGTGGGTTGGAAAGGCGGTCAAAAGTTTTTAACACATTTTTCCCTTTTTCTGAAGTCCTGCCACATATCAAGGTTCTAGGAAATATGATACTTAACTTACACGAGACCTGAACAAATGTAAAGTTTAGTGGCCCTAGTTCGATTCACTTGATGATCAAGTGAAATACAGGTAATAGAGATGATTCGACTCTTCTAAGATGGCGTTGGAATGTATCTTCTAGCTATTATTAAAAAGCGGTATGTAAAACTTCCAAAAGTGCCCTTTAATTTAGTTAATCATCGAGGAACTTAATCGGTCACCAGAAAATGTGGTCGTCCGGTCGTCCGCATCGAGACTATATCTGTCCACGGGTCTTTGCTCTATGCATAGTAGAAGCATCACAGTTTTTTCCATGAGTTTCTTTACCGTTTCTCTTTTTTGACTAAAACGTGTAGCCATTTGTAGCTCTTCAAGCTTTGTTGTAGAATAGGCTTACTCTTTGTTGAGGTTCGGAACGGAGTTCTCACCTTGAATGGCTCTGCTTTGAGCATGAGCTATCAGTGAGCATCGTTACCCTATCAAAATATATTATATAGGAAAATTTGGCATGAAGAAGTCTGAATTTGGCCTACATAGGTCTTCTATTGCTTAGCTTTTAGTTCTTTAAAATTTACTTCTGGAAAGTATGAAGTGCGTTATAGGGGCAAAGTATGGCGGCCTGTGTATCCACACGTAATATTTTCTTCTCGCTTTTCAAGTTCGTAGCGCCGTAACGTATTCGTTTTAAGTTTCAATTTGTTGTTCTCTGCCTAAATAAAGTAGTGCAAGACCTAGTACGTGCGTAGCTCTGTGGCTAGAGGTACACTGCAATGCATACAGGTTCTGTTCCGAATATTTGTCGGTACAATCGGAAGTACTCCATACTTCCGAGTTGCGAAATTGGCACCAGACTTGTGAAAAAGCACTCAGTCAAAATCAGTGATCCAGCAGAACTCATTGTATAGGACAAATGTGCATCCAATTGCCTATGCGGTGTAACCAATGGAGCGGAATGCAAAACGCACCTTCGAAGTACCACCAAGCGCTTTGTGCTTTTATTTCTTAAAACCTAATAGTACGGTTTTGTGGGGAAACAATGCATAAGCACAAACATTTGATTCGGCTAAAATCTTCTACGGCATGTGGGGCTTCACAAAAAGGATATCCTATCAGTGAGCTGTGATGGCCAATAAAGGTATTCTAGATCTACATGTATTAAAATCTGATTCTTTATAATAGCAGAACAAGCATCAATGGTGTACGAAGTAACAAAAAGCATGTCGTTAAACGCTCCATTTGGCAATGTCGCTTTCGACATTCATCGTCCAACTTCTTCACTTTCATCTTCATGTTTGTCTTCGTGTTCGACTTCACAGATCAGTAACGCTCCATTTCATCCTCTATCTAATCGCCATCGGATGCCGTCTCCTAGGAATCGATGGAGATCTCATCGTCATTTTTATCGTCTTGTTATGCCGATCGGCATTCTTCGCCGATTGAATATCTAACATTGGTTTCCCACATTCGTCTCATACTGTTGATTTTTATATTGTGTGATATTACTATTATTTTTGTTACTATTATTATTACTGTTATCTTTGCCATTAAATACTGTTATTACTAAATACACGTATTAAAGAGTTTATAAATTCTCCTTGATCAAACATGGCCGACTATCCCTTTAGGAGTCATAAGAAGAATTTGAGCTAACATAATGGCGGTTTTTTTATTACCCACTGAGAAATGGACAACGGTAGTATCAGCACCATCTCGTTTTATAGTTTTACTCTATAGAACATCGAGATCTGTAGAGTATGAAAATTTGCTAACCCGATTAGTGGTGCAAAGGATCCGCTATTATAATTTGCTTCGAAATTGTTATTATCAGAAAGAGAAGCACCACCACCGTCGCGTTAGGGATATGAATTACACTTTTAATTCATTCTGCTCTCCGCTATGAAGGCATTTCTCTTAAAGATTTTTTTTCATTTCAGTTATTGCTGAGAACCACCAGCCTACTAATCTTTCAGCGTTTAGGCTCCAACGGTACCAGATTACGGACCCCCGAAGGATAGGGATCTTAGTTCTGAACACGAAACTGAGCCAGGAATCGTGTCAGTGTTGCATGAAATTTCTGACCATCGTTAAGTAAGAACGCAAATGATTTCCGTCACTTCGGAATTTAGATAGAATTTTACCTTTAAGTTTCCACAAGGTAATCCCTAGTTTGTATCTAATTGTTTTTGGTCTACATTATGATCATAGAGAAAGACTGGTTGAGAGAAGGGAAATCGAGCGCCTTGGCTGGTGTGTTGAATAGCCTGTGAGCGCTTCGGTAAGGATGGTTTAATAATAATAGGATTTGAAGCCCATCTGAGGTCCCGAGTTTTTCAGATATCTCAGCATCTTTGTGGTTTCAAGTCCGTAGACTTAAACAACAGCACATGAAATTTAAAACGACGATTGCTGTTCCTTATTTACCGTCACCAACTGCTGTAATGAGAGAATGTTCATCTAGACGCAGAATGAGTAATGAAGGGTGTCGAGCCAATTTGATTAGTGGTTACAGCGTTCTGGTTCAAGTTCGTTCATCTTGTTATTATTACTGACGGAGCTATTCTACTTCTTTACTATTCATACGTTCCTTGTATTCTTCTCGTTTTTCTTTTGTCATCGTTCAATGCTTTTTATATGTTATGATCAATATTTATTAGATTATACGCTATACATCGTTACTAGTATTCAGATTCATTAAACTATTCAAATGTTTTCCACGTGAGCATGAACTACGAGAACATAAACCGATTCACTTCCGTGATTCGTCTTGTTTCTTCGTACATTAGCAATTTATCTCTACCCCTTGGTAAGGCTACGAGATATGGACTTCATGAACATCAAGGATGTTGAAATTATAAAATCACGAAGCGCCCTAAAGATTTGTAACACAAATACTCATATGAGTTTACATCACCTAATATTATAGTAGCGCGGTTAAGGTTCGACCCTCCCCCAGCCCCACTAACCCTCCATTCTTGCAGGGTCAGGAACCAGGATTGTTTGGGAGAAACTAGCTTTCTGCAACCCTAGTGGTCACGCTCTAGCTCGGTTATCTCAGGACTCCAGAAATAGTCAAGTCGGTCGGCCAGCATTCGCAGACGTTAAGAAAGAAGGTAATAAACATCAAGCAACAACCAAACCCACGCGCAAAAAATTTAAGACATTCGTGGATGATAGATGCGAGGAAACGATTCGAATGCAAGAAGTGCTAGGATCCGTACAATAGATGTGAAAAATCGGTTGTGTGAAATAAAATGAGTTACAAAAGTATTAAGTTGTGTGGGTGATTTGCGAAAAAAGGTATGTTATTTTGATCTTTACCCAAGTTGAACAATTTTTTAATGTTTCTTTTACAAAATCAAACGATAACCAAATGTCGTTTTAACTTGTTGGCAAGTGGAAAAAAACAACTTTTTTTTTTTGTTATTACTCTTTGTTACTCTTTGTTATTCAATGTAGTTCGAGTACTAAATATATGCACTACCGCTACCAGGTTATTGTGCTAGTGACTTAAAGGGTCTAAAAAAATCGTCAAGCCGTCCATATCTGTTGGAACTCCTCCCAATTCATGATCTATTTTTTGTTTTTCAACCTCTATAATTAAGTTATTTGTACATTTGTACATTTATAATTTAGATAGAAAAACCTCTCGGCGTTGATCAATGCCTGAGGGATGCGCCGTGCATTCGACTTCATTAAGCTTCATTGGAGGTGACTTAATGCTTATCTGGCTTTTACAATGTCTCGAGGTGGCCTTTCGATGTATCGAGCCAGTGCTGCTATCCTTCCAGGCAAGTCTGGTACCAATTTGCCGGCCCAAGAAGGATGGAACGCTTGGTGGGCCATAGGCCCGGGGATCGATTCCACGTGTGTGTTGCAGGGCGCCTCCGACCCGTGCTCCACACGCGCCCTACATTTGTAATTTAGAAATATCAACTTGCTGAAGCAAAATCGGTATTAAGAGCTATTGTGCGACGAGAGGAAAATCGTAAACGTATGGTAATGCAGTGCTCAATGTTTGAGTGAATGAGTAAGAAGGACTTGCTATAGAATGACTATTAATTTTTTCCATTTGTGTTTTCCTCATTTTGCTCGTTTCGAATTCAGACTTGTTCAATGCTTTAAGGGCTGTGAAAAATTCACTTTTCTAAGAATATATCGGATTGGGCACTTTTGCTAGTAGCAGACTTTTGAGTGTTTCTCTTTAAAACTTTCAAAACCATAACATTTCCTCGCATATCGTGAGATCTATGGAATACTGTACTGTTTCTTGGTTCATGCTTTTCGTAGAGAAATGCAAAGAACTCAGAAATCCAATATAACTGTACATGTAGGTGTCTGGATGATATGAGTAGACGGTTGTCTTGAGAATGTCATGATCGTCGGCCTAGTGGTGCTCGTTGCGCTACTTCCGCTTTCCGCACGAGTGCTGGTCGGCGCGATTCCACGACGCGGAAACGAACCATGGTCATTGGTCTTGTGCAAGTTCAAAGATAGCGACTACGAGCCGCGAACTGCTGAATGGTTTTCCGAATGGATTTCTGGCGGAAATAATCCAGGTAGGCGTTGTTCATGTTTGGAATGAACATGTATTGAAGAGTTTTTTTTTATAATAATGCAACGGTGGATTATTCAACTCGCCATTCACCGCCACATTGTAGCTTTAAGATTCTGCTGGGTATGGAGTGCTATACTCAGTGGAGGGCAATTCTTTCAACAAGGTGTTCAAAGTTCTGAGAGAGCTCGGCAATCCAATCCATAAAGCCCAACTAATACTGCGTATGTGCCTGGAATTGCTTCCATCTAGTCAGCAGTTTGCTTTCAAGGTAGCCGACCTCCCTCTGATTCGCGAGAACCGCTGACTGTTTCTGGTAATTTCTTTGAGAATCCCCAGAATGGTAATCCCGATAAGTTATCTTGAAATTTCAACGGAAGAATATCTGGCCCGATTTCCGAATTACCACTGGGCTGGAAATTTCGTTGGGCTCGCACGGTGTTCGTTAGGAAGCGTTATTCAAAAACTCATCTAAATATGAATCATTATAGCATTAATACGACAGCAGGAATAATATAATAATAGTAATAGTGATTTTATTAGTAGTAATAGTGTGAGTAATGTCAATAATAATTATTTTATTACCCCCGGAAAGGGTAATACCGCGTTCGTTCGCCACCGCAGACACCTACTGTCTGGAGTTTTGCAAATATCTCAGCAACATTGTGGTTGTATCACACATAATACCCTGCCATGAAGATTTGTAATAGGCAGCAAATAAAAAGTTGACATTAGTTATTTCATTTCCAATAATATTTTTGGTAACCACTTTTATTTACTACCTATTGTTTTTCATGGCAGGGGATGATGTGGAATATAACCATAATGATGCTGAGATATTTACAAAACTCCGGACCTCACGTTTCTGCGGGTGAGATCGCCGCGTGCGGCGCAGTGGTTGGAGACGCCACTGCAACACACACGTGGAATCGTGCTTTGCGCCCATGGCTCACCAAGCCTTCCATCCCTCCGGGGTCGACAAATTGGTACCAGACTTGTCTGGGAGGATAGCAGCACCGGCCCGATACATCGGTAGGCCACTGCGAATCATTGTAAAAGCCAGATATGAATTAAGTCACCTGCAACGATGCTTAATGAAGTCGAATGCATGGCGCATCCCTCAGTGGATGATCAACGTTTAGAGGTTTATCCTTTATCTTTTTGTTATCAATCACCAATGAACGGGAGTAACCTGGCGAGAGCAAATCGGACTTAGTTAAGCTGAAATCGTAGTACAAATCGCAATGTAGTCATTTTTTATTTATTGCTTGTTTTTCTGTTGAGAGAATGGCGACACCAAGGACCCGCATAGTGTGGTGGTGAACGCGTTAGTCACCGGAAAGGGTAATTGCACGTTCGATCCCTACCGCGAGCAACTGCGATTCGGAGTTTTACAACTACCTCAGGATCACTGTGGCCAATATTTTTACGATTTGTAAAATATCGATTGTCAGTCTTCTCTGTCTTTAATGACTTTCTTTGCCTTTTTATCGTCTTCTACCATTACTAGGCTTTTGCTTTTGTATTAGAAAATAAAGATAAAACATATCTAAAGGGGCGCTGGATGGTGGTGTACAGGTAATTCACAATACCTTATATCGCTTAACAACTCGTAATAATAAATCCCTCAGAAGAATTTCCACTGCCCTTCGGTATGCATTTTTTGCGTGGTTAGGTTTCATCCCTGAAAATCAGAAGAAGTCGGATTCCGGTATGTAGAGAGGTTTTCGAGCTTCAGGTCAGGTTTTGTGACGGTAACAATTTCTCGCGTAAATTTATTCTTGTCTGCACTTCTAGATTGAATTCTGAAGCTCCAAATCTTGGTTAACCTTGCTAGCAGCCGAATGTACGGTTATACATCGCATGTTCACGGCTGGGAATATCTTTACTCGCAACAATTGGGCGGTGAACGAATGAGGGTGTGCAACGTAAAAAGAGAAGCAATAGAAAAAATTATTAAAGCTCTGTCTCAAATAGAAATTGACTTGTAACCAATGTTTTCAGACACCATTGAGAACTACTTTTCATCCGTCTCAAACACTATTTATACCATCAAAGGTTCGAATGTAACGAAATGGTTGCGACTTCCGTGGACTCGTCACGAAGTTCTTCGAATGGCCCTTATGGATCCAAGATTGCAATCGATACGAGACCGTCCATTTGCTGTAAGTTAGCTACATCAATCTGATATCTTGTTAATAGTCGAATAATCCGGTCAAACACTGCCAAAGTGTCCATTCGTCGAAGTCGCAGGTCAGAGCCTTCCATCCTCGTTTTGAGGAACACGGGAAGATACGCATTCATATTGTGAAACTCCTTCTTTTCGCCATCCTTGGTAAAAGATGACCAAATTGCTCAGCAGGGTTTCCTGGATTCGGTGCTGTTTCGAATGACCATCTCTCTCTAAAGTACTCCGGCACATGAAGCGCTTCTAAACTATAAGCGCACTATTAACCTAAACCACGTCATAAATGGTTGAAATATTGTTTGGATTTTTAGCACTCAGTATTCCGTAATTTGGCTTTTAAGATGTTTGACAAGGCTAAACAGCTCTGCATTTCGTTTGCTGAGCAAAATGGTTTTACTTTGCACAGACGGAAAATTACCGTGATCAATATGGAGAACACAGCCGTCTACAGCAAGGATACCGGTGCGGTTTATGCTTTGTTGTCTTCACTGTTTTCCAACGTTGTTGTAAATTTGAATGCTATATTTCGATGGTGTACATTTCCGCTTGGACGTTAATTTTTCTAGATTTTCTCTAAAAAGAACAGTTCGCTCATTATTTACAAGCTGGTATCGAGAGTTGTTGTCTGGTAATGGTGTCTTGAAATAATCTCCCCCTACTGTTTTATTGAAATTACTTTCCTTAACGGCAACCAATTTGTTTTGATGCCTTATAACGAGGAATTTTTAAGGCGTGTTGCTGACTCCGAAACTGATTTTCTCGTCAGTTTTGACGCATGAGATGATTCATGGAATGAATGTTGGTCATTCCTATAGCGATCGAAAAGTACAAGTGAGTAAATTTTGAATAAGGAATTCATTCTGCGTTTCCCACCGTCTTAATCCGTCTTGCCAAGAAATGAAAGAGCTAATAGTGTGAAAAGGTTGCTGATGAAGTGAGCATTTAGCGAGGATTGCCATGAAAACTATGCAAAGTTTTTTTCTTCTTGATTTTCACCTTTAACGTTATTTCTGCTAGGAGTTCGGAATAGCTTGTGAGCAGAAGTCGAACATCACTGAATTTCGTGCAGGTGTTTCCCTACGCTGCACCAGGAGAATATGATGACAAATACGATTTGATGTCCACCGCCAATGCTCACATGCGTCTGTCAACTTACGGACTTAGTGGTCCTGGTTTGAATGGACCACATCTGGACTATCTTGGCTGGCTTCCACAGAACAGGATTGTGTATTTTGGACGGTAATCATTCTGTCGTTTATTTAGAAGACATAAATAAAAGTTGGAGAAGCATAGCGCAGTAGTTAGAAATGTCCCGCAAAGTATACGTGATTTTTGGTTGGATTACAAAGCCTTCCATCGCTTTTCGTCGGAGAAGTTGGTTTCAAACTTGTCTGAGTGGATAGAACCTCAATTCATACATTGGTAACCCTCCTCAATAGGATACCATACATTCAATCAGCTGTTCTATGCTAGCATAGACTCGAGATCATAGTGCATTCCTGCAGAATGGATACGCTCTATTCTTTTATCCTTTAACACAAAATGTGAATGATGTTACGATATGAGGGGAAATCGGATCCTCATGTGAGCTTCAAATCCGCGATTGCCCTTACCTCGGGTTTAAGTGCTATTCACCACACTAACCGAGGTCCCTACTTGGACTTTCTCTCAGCCAGTTTTGTTCATTATATCAATGCTATCAGTAACCACCCGTCAACAGGAATGATCTGGGGAGCACAAGTCGGCATTGGACCCAACTAAGCCGGAACTGAAGTCAAAATCACAAAGTGTAAACTTTTCATTTGTTGTCAATTCTTTTTTCATAGCAGGGGTGCTATGTAAAATAAATATCTCAGCATCCTTGTGGTTATATTTCAATAGTACTCTGTCATTACAAAAGAACAGCCAGTAAATAAAAAGTGAAGACATTGTGGTTTTGGTGTAATTGATAAATCAAGTGGAGTAACACGAAACACAATAATCGGTTATTAGTTTACTATTGTCCTACAACATTTACTATCGATAAGAGGCGATGAAGAAGAAAAAAAATTTGCAATTATAGCGATGGTCGAACTAATTACACTCTGCGACTTTCCTCACTTTCCGTCCCTCATCGTCTCACCAATGGTTGGTTGCTGGTGATGATACCGTATGATCGCGATGACCCAGGAAATGTATACACTATTGAACATCGTACTCCGGTTGGAAACGATGTGGCTATAAAGCAGGTGATGGTACACCAACTCTAGTAAGTCACGGTACTTTCGTGCTCTACTGAGTACCTACTTTCCATTCACAATGGTTACGTTCTAAACTTTTACACAATAAAACAACGCAAACCATCCTTCAATTGTAAAGTAGCAGAAATAATTGAACATTAAAAAAAATGTTGCTGTTATGCGAATGATCTTGTTTTCATCGTTTCTGGTTTATCAAATTTAGTGCGTAAAGAGACAAAGCAATCTATCGCCTAAGTGATCGAGCGATTAGCGAGTGTTCGTGTGTGATAGATGAACTTCACCATTCGTCTTGTTGAATTCATCACTCGCAATCTTTCCATCGTCTCCCTGACAAGCAAATATTCTCATGAACTTGGCTTCTCTTTCTCTGTTTTGTTTTGCAACGCCTTACTATAAAATGTTATTTCGAGAACATCACAGATAACATAGATATATCCGGAAAATTACGCTGGTTGGCTCCATGGACAGTGGAAATGTGTATCTTGAAACCACAGACTCTTTAGTTTATGATGTAAATGGCATAAATTCGGATTTACTCTTGTTTAAAAAAGGAAGTGCATTAGAAAAACAGCATCAACGAGACTCTAAAGTGCCCAGAAATCCGATCTGCCTGCCCTTTCAGACACTTACGTGGACATGACTCATATTTGCCTCACAGTATTGGAAATTGTGTTTCTATATAATTAAACTCGCGCAAGATTGATGAATTTGTAGCGGATCCCAGGACCGACCTTCTATTACCCTCGCCAAGGATTGATAATTTACTGTTCTTCTTCAGTGAGTAAACATGAGGTTGGTAATACAGTATTTTATTAGCACACAATAGCTGACGTTTCGGTGGTCTCGATTTCTTCAAAGCCTGGAAAAGTTCAAACCATTTTGGTCGTTATAAGTCTTCCAGTTAATTGGTGGACACCAGCCGCACAGAGTATTGCTTGGGGAAGGAATGTGTCTGGGTTAGATCACAGAATCAGCCTGAGGTATGGTGCTAGGTCAAACGTGATCACAAGGCACTCCTTGCGCTTAACCATTAAGGAGAAGATTTTGAATTACAAGTTAATGTCCTCGCACAGGAATCCGAAACATCAGCGCGTAAAACTCTTGAAGCTCTGTGAATTATTTCCAGAAGTCCAAAAATAAACCACAAGGAGAAGTGTATTGTGATAACGCGTGACCTATCGCCATACCGCAAAGTGATTTGCTGATCTGACGCAGACAAATTGCCCTCCCACGTGTTACTCTGTGCGGTTGCTATCCACCAACTAGTTGAAATACTTACAGCGAATAAACAGCAGGTGTTTAAATGAAGTTGTTTTCTATGCGAATGCAAATTTGTGTATTATGTCTTATATGCCGGGGTTATAAAAGTGTTTGGCTGAATAGATTTCATTTCAATTTGAGCTTCCCAGGTTCTGAAGAGGGCCAAACCGCCGAAACGCTAACTATTGTCTGCTAATAAACGCTATAATGGCAATCCAGTGTTTGCTCATTGAAGAAAACAATGAATTATCTCAGCACCATTGCGGTTGTGTTCATTATCACTATTAGCATTGCTATTGCTGTCACTACTACTCTTATTATTACTATTATTATTATTATTATTATTTTTCATCAATTGTTTGATTGTTCTTTTTTTAAGTTAGGAAGATTGTCAACTAATTTCTAATGTGCTCAGGGTGCTGTTGTGGTCCATAAAGTGCATCGTATCGGTCAATCCTACTATTCGACTCTGATAACACATGAGCATGGCGAATTCGATGAACTAACTGCTGGCACCGAGTGGCTACGATTCCTCAACACAAATATTGACGGGGGTTTTCAGTACATACGGGTTAAAGTAAGGATTATCCTTCTACTTTACATTTGCAAAATAATAGGCAAATTTACCAGTAAGGTTTCTCTCAGCCAAATAATAACTGCGTTTTTATGACATGGTGTGCTGTAGCTTATGTAATGGCGTATTTTTCATCTTCTCTAGGGATATTTTTTCGAAGACTTTTACAAATCAAAGATTAATAACCTTAGCAGAACTACCGAAAATCTCATAAAAGCAATAGTGTTTTTACAGGTCGAACGGGTTCATGGAAAATCTCATAGCGCTGATCTCAAAATCATAACAACGTTTCGACCGGTACTGTCATTTTACCTTATTTACCTTGTCTTCCGTTATATTTCTGGATTTTTCATCGAAAACCATGGTAATCTGTGCGACGCAAAACGATTTTTTTGGAGAAAAATTTTTAACAGACATCATGTACTTTGAGAGGCCGTCTAGCGCACTGGTTGGAGGACACCGTAATACACGCGTAGTCCCGAGACCGACTTCCTGTCCGCCTCTGCATTGATGAAAAATCTGCTGTTTTTTTGATTAGCAAAGACTAGTTTGTTACTATGCATTATTTATTTACAATAGCTGACGTTTCGGCAGATTTCGCCATTTTTTAGAGCCTGTTAAGACCAAGTTCAGAAAGAACCACGATAGCTACTTTTCAATCACATTAGATGTAAAACAGGTTCTTTACGCCGTCACCCCTCCCTATAAGTCTTTCATCGAATTTTCCACGTGGAGGCAAATAGTGCAAAACTGAAATGGATAATAGATAATAGGGTAACGAGCCAATCTCATGTTAAAATACCAGTCTATGATAGTGTGTGAAATCTCGTAGGAGGTATGTCATGGCAAAGAAGTGCGGATTCCGATACACGCCTCGTTCTCGTTGATTTCTCGTGGTGTCCGAAGCGTCTGCATCGATCGCAATCGGACCATCACACAAAACGATGTGGATCGACAGTATCTCCGACAAGCATTCTTCGTCATGAGGTCAATTCCTTTTCAAAGAAATATTAGCGAGAACTTTATTTAGTTCTGGGAAATAATCGTCCAAGATTTAAGTGCAGCGCCCAGTAGTACAAAAGAGTTTTGGTTTCCAGTAAATTCCTCTTATTAACAGTGTCGCTTTTTGCTTCTAGGTAAACCTTAGGAATGCCTGAAAACACTTCTATTCATGGAAAATCTTGGTCCTTCTTCATCGTAAATAGGTTTCGATCTTAGAAGAAAAGTATGAAAACGGAAAAAGCATGAATTTAAGAAGGACGTTTGGACAAAACGAATGTATTAGTGGTTACACATGGCGAGCTATCGATGCGTACGACTATGTCTGCGTAGAACCACATCGGTGAACGTTTCTCTTCGCATATTGATTTTTCTATTCCTGCTGTGAAAGTGTTTTTCATTTAGAATCATTGACTTATTCAGAGCAGCCGAGGTTATGGAGAGTATTGCACCAGTTGATGAGAATGGAGCTGGTTGTGATGTCGATTACGTTCACAGAAATGCTTTTCAGGTTAGTGCTCTCACTGTACTTCATTGAAAGAAAGTCGGCTAAATATCAGAGGTATGACCTAGGAGCGCTAACTCGACTTCTCACAGGGTCAACCAGGGCTCTATTTCTCATCGGTCGCGAAATTGCTATCTGCCTAACCTGGAACAAGCTGAATCCCTCCAGTGTACGCGGTAATGCTTTAGCACCTCCAGGATTCGATTCGACCATCATTCAACGGACTTCGTGACGGAGACGGAAATCTGCAATCAGCAGTTGAAGCCGCAATGGAAAGGCTTGAAGAACCGCGTGGAAGGTGAAAGCGACGAACTGAACAGAATGCAAGTGCTCGAGGCGCACAGTGTGATGCAGTCGGATCATATAATAAATAATAGATAACTGAATCACGTAAATGTTGCAAAGAAGAGGTCTATTAACAATTACCTGTATTAGCCCTTTACCAACTAACTCGTAAGGCAAGATCTTTTTTCTTTCTGAAACATGCCAATGGGCCCCACTCACTCGGTGAACATGAAAAACGTAAAACTTTTCAAAAGTAACCCTTTATTTTCACCATTTTCAACGATCTGATACCTAGGGGCTCGCTGCTAGTCCTTCTCTTTGCATTGTCGCCATACCCAATACGTGTTGTCGTGCTTCTCAATACTAAACGTATGGCAGATTAACTAAGTGCGACCGAAAGAAGGAAAATGCTTGTCTTTAGTGCTTCCAGAATCAATGAGAGAGAACCTTGGGATCTTGTGGTTTAATGAATGAGGCGTCCGTCCAAGGTTCGATACCGATCCAATTCATGCGCAGAATCTGAAAATCTCACGCAGATACATAGGTGTGAGATTAAACTGTGGTTTCTTTAACTTCAATGATGCTGAGATATTTGCAAAACTCCGGACCGCAGGTGTATGCGGTGGGGAACGAACGCGCTATTGTCCTTTCCGGGGTGTAGCGCGTTCACCACCACACCACGCGGGTCCTTATATATCTCAGCATCATTGCAGTTATATTTAACAATGTATACCCTGCCGTTAAAAAGAGTAGGCAGTAAATAATAAGTTAAAATTGTGGTTTCTCTACTTATTACTCTAAACCCTCCCAACGGTTTACCGATTCATCATGGCTAGGAGGTGTTCGTGGGTGTCGGACTGCGATGAACAGCGTGGGATTGATCTCCTGGCAGGGTCTCCCAAGCCAAAAAGGAGTCCTACGTTTCTATCAGGAATCCTAGCTAAGAGTGAACCAATACTAGGATCCACCAACGTCCTGGTATCAAAATTGAATGGTGGTAAATGGTCCTCTGATACACAAGGGCTGCGACTGCCTGCGGTTGTGAAGAGCTGGGGCAGACTTTGGCCAGGCTGCACTCGTGATTTCAGGGAACCACAATAACTTAACCAACAAATCTGCGAAAAATGGAAGCTGTGCTAGGGCCCGCACCACCAGTGACGACGGGCCATTCAAACTACAAGTATCAAGTAATTATTACTCTAAACAAGTTGCCGAACAGATCACATCCATGCTTATTGCTGTAGTAGTTTTACAGATAGTGATTTTAAGGATCGATTTCTTGGCGTTAGGGTGTCTGAGACCATTTGCTTTTTCTTCATGTTTCTCCTTTATCCATGGAAATCATTTAGAAAAAGTTTTATTCAGGGCGATAAAGCATGTGTCAGTGAAGACGAACGTGCGCTAATCCACAAGGAGAACGCTGAATCGCATCTCTTCCTTCGGAATAACGCGTTTTTTAATGGGGCTGATTCCGTCGGTCCATAGAGAGGACGATTGGGATCGATCTTTCAATTCTTTTCACGCTTTTCATTATGCTTTGAAAAAAGTTTACTGTACAGTGGTCGATAAATTTATCAAGCCATTCTTTTAAAACTGCCTTCGTACTTACATTTTCTCGTTACTTTAATTTTCATTTCCTCCTAGGAAAAGCGTGATTTTTGCACCATTCCTGCATGACATAAGTGAATAAATGGCCTTTCATCTGTCATTCGTCATTTTTTCAATGATTCCACTTCTATTGTTTAATGGTCCTCGCTTCATTTTCAGTTTTGCCTTTCTTACGAAGAAATCTGGAGTGATAATCCTACACGCATAAGTGACAACAAAGTGTTCTCGATAAACGCTCTCATTGGGTATGAATAGCGTAGTGCCTGTTATCTGGCGGAGCGGTAATATTCACCAAGTTTCGGATTCGCATGTGTGAGCAAAGATGAATGCGTGTATTCGCTTCTGACACCTCTTATGCTAGCAGTCATTTCCGGGCTACAGTGATTCGGATAGTGTTCCGATACGTCTTGAGGTACAATTAGAAGGATATCTGTTGCTACCATTCTTTCAACTTGATCTTCCGCCATTTCTTGCCGTTAGAGATAAAATTCCTATCACGGTACTGATTAAGGGTCTTGAGAATGCCGTCCGAAAACATGCGGAATTTTATGTCAATTCCATCGTTGGGGTCCTGCTCTTTAAAAAACGTTTTAGGGAAAGTAGGTGGTGGTAGTGTCTCCGCCTTTTGATTTTTATCTCTATTTGATGTTTCTCTTTGGCCTGATAGCGGAGTCGATCTTGAAACTAATAAAAGTTGCATGTTATCCTAAGCAGGGTCGTTTTAGAAATGGGCTGTGATGGTGCAAAACTTGGCCCCAATTCTAATAGCGAACGCGCACTCTCAGGTACTCTTATGCCACCAATCACGGTGACCTTAGACTTTCTTGGTGCATTATCAACCCTATTTTGACTATTACGAGAAACGTTAAGAATTTGTTTGCGGTCCTTTTTTGAAACTGAAACATGTGAATTACTCGAAAGATTTTCGAATGTCCACCCAGCAACTAATAGCTCTCTTGAAGGAGTGCCCAAACTGCTCGATTTATAGATCGTCTGGGAAATATTTCGCCCAAACAAGGAGGTTTGCAATAGGACAGCGACTGGCACCAAGTCTTGCTACTGTATTTATGTCTAAAACGGAAACTCCTATTCTCGATCTCCGACCACTATTCTACTGCAGATATGTAGATGAATGTTTTGTCGTCCTCTCTACGCAGGAGGAAATGGACAAATGATTTGAATTATTGAACGAGCAGTTTGAGTACATAAAGTTCACCCGGAAGGAACAGAGAAAAAATTGGCTCCCGTTTTTAAACGTTCAAATAAACCTGTCAAGTAGCGGTTACTTGACAGAGTGATACCGAAAACCAAGAAACAAGAACATCCTCGTTCATTTCCTTTCTTCCCACCCTTCACACACAAAGAGAGCGATTGTGAGAAAAATGTCTCGAACAGCAACCTCTGTGTGCACAACCAGGGAACTAAAGGAAGAATCGCGCGACTTGGCTCGGCAAATAGGCATTTCCAATGGCTACGAAATAATAACCCCACGAGATAAGTTTGGAAGGACAACCACACGCCCAAGCGAAACACTTAGCCAAAGGAAAATCCCGTTTACGTTGCTTTTTATTAGCGATGAAGCAAGCGTAGCTGTTAAACAATGTTTAAGAAAGGCCGGTCTAGAGGAATCGGTAGCGATTGTTGAAATACTACCGGATGCCCTACGTCGTCAATTAGTTCGTAACCACCTGTATGATCGTCTATGTGAAAGAGCGAATTGCGTAATTTGCTCTTACGGCAGGGACAGTGATTGCATGACTTCAGATACGGTATACCTGATCTCTTGTAATAATTGCGGGGATAAATATATTGGCGAGACGGGCAGACTTCTGTGTATCCGCATAAACGAACACCTTGATGGCAAAGGAAAAGCAAGGCAAAGTACCCCACTAGGCACGCATAGGATACAAAAGCATAGTGGAGACCATTTTGAAGTAAAAGTCAATATCCTTGCACAGGAGACTAAAAGATCAGGGTGAAAAGTTCTTGAGGCTTTTTGGATTAATGCGAAAAATCCTGCACTGAATAGCAGGGATGAATACTAAGAGGTCACACGCGACCTGTCTCCGTATTTTCGCATCAACTTCTGACGTGGGATGGTGCAGTCATCAACCATATGCGACCATAATCAACTGTTCTAAACTTCCTCATTGGAACTCACGAAAAAGCGGTGAGTTTTTAGGGAAGCTGTTGATCATATGATCACCATAGAGTTTTTCGTCTTTTTGTAAGTGTTATTGAAGCGCTTGGCCTAGTAGATTGCGTGTTAGTGTACACTTCCAGGCTCAGAAGAAGGCGATAGTGCCGAGACGTCAGCTACTGTTGTATTGTATTGTGTTTTTCTATGGAAGTAAATGGATACTGTTTAACAACCTGGTGATTGCTAAGCAAGAAAACGACGCATATCTTGCTTTCACAATGACGCCGGTTATCCCACCGATCTATCGACCCAGTGCTGGTGTCGTGCCAGGTAGGTCTATTGGTGGGTTATAGGCGCGGATTTGGATTCCACGTGTGTGCTGCAGTGCACCTCCGACTACTGCGCCACACGGGACCTCTTCCGTTGTTGAGGTTCAGAAATCTATTATGTTACGTCGATAGCTTGAACAATTCCATTTACTGCAACCTCTAGTAGTAATGAGCAGTAAAGTATTAGCACTTTTCGACAAGTAATAATAATGGAGCATGAACTTCGAAACAGATTATAACAGCAACGTCTGTAGTTGTGTAAATGTTGTTAAAGTTGTTTTCGTAAGCCAATGGTCGCTTTAGTGCTATTTTAGAACCATTTTTGGTTTAAAGCAAAGCGATTAAATCGATATTACTTCTATTTTTGTTTGTCCTCGAGCTTAATGCAAGGTGATGGGCCCAAAGAGATTCCGAATTATTCACTATTTCACATGTTTATACTAATTCGAATGGATCACATTCATGAAAAATCGTATGGAT